AGCGGATTCCTCTTGCTCAGCTGTCGATTGGCTTTACTGAAACATTCATGCTGACCCTGTTTCCGAGGCAATCTCCTTCGATTCCGGTGAAAAGGGGCTAAGCTTTCGTCCGTCATGTGACGAACATCATCAGAACAAGGTATTATCGTCACAACACAATTCAAGCTAACGAATTAAGAAAACTCGTTATGACAATTATGAAACAGGAGATTCCTCGAAACCCAACTTTTCTTCGCATATACATCCATAAATTTGTTTAGAAGTTGAGAATCCAAGTTATTGTAACATTCTTCTGGAGAATCCCAGAGAGTGTCTTGTGATGTTTCAGTATGTTTCACCTGTTCGCTCTCAAAATTTTCCTAAATATTTCCAATAGGTCTGAGGTCTGGTTAATGCGTAATAAGGAAGATCAGGCAAATCAGCACTCCTTTTGTGCGTCCGTTGACTTCAAATGCTACTGGCACAGCTTTGATGCAGGTTTAGGATCATTGTCCTGCTGGAAAGTGAATCTTTTGCGCCAGAGAGGACGGTGTGCCTCTTCAGTCAAGTGGTACATGAATTCCAATTAGTAATTACTTTGCAAGGCAAACATAATATTATTACTACTCTGCTACTAATATCGCCCAATCCTACTTTCCTACTTCTCTTTTGTACCACTTACTTCGGATCAGTATGAGATTTATTCACTCTATTTCGTGTAAGGTGATGAAGGACTGGTAGTAGAACAACTTTTTGAAAAGCAAGGGTATGTGAAATTCAATGGAAATGTCAGCTCTACTCATATCATTGTGGGAAATTCTACTACCAGTCCTTCATCACCTTAACCGAAATTGGGTGAATACATCTCATACTACTGATTTACTGGTAGTCTCGATACTCTACTCAAATACCAAAATAACTGAGGATGCACCAAGTCCATGGTCGAACACTGAAAATTATTTTGACTGCGCATAACAGAGCACTTGGGACAAGGTGTGTTTATCTTGGTCGCCACGACAACATGACCAATTTGCTCTTCCTATTTCCTTTATGGTATGTGAATTTTCCCAAATTAATATGAATAGACGCGAAGTTTCTGTTGAATTGCACATAACCTTGTTTTTCCAAAGGGTGTTCTTCTAGCGGGACTCGAACCATGGCACTGTAGCATAGCATCTCGACACATTATTCACTGCAGCACAATTCCACGGGTGTCCAGGCACTTCCCAAATCACATGCTGCTTGACCTTACCTCAACTTCACATCTGCCCTGTTACTCACGGCAACTCGTGGAATTGTGGTGTAGTGGTTAATGTGTCGAGATGATATGCTGTCACTAGGCGGAGTCGAACCTGCAGTCCACTAGGGTCTGGATGAGAACACCTTTTGGCAAAGCAAGCTCATGTGAAATTGAATGGAAAGGTATGTTTCTATTGAATTTCACATCACCTTGTCTTTCCAAAGGGTGCTCTTCTAGCGGGACTCGAACCATGACACTGAATGGAAAGGTACGGCTCTATCAACTGATTGTGGACAGATTCGACTACCAGTCAGCCTACACGAAATCCAATGGAAACATCTCATCAATATGATCTCAAAAGCCCACTTATACTCGAAAACTAAGTAGGCTTGTCTGTTACCGACCAACTCATTCACTTCGAAATCTGACTTCTGCCAAGTGGGTCGTCAAGTTGGTGCAGAGCTCCGTTGCTGGAGTGGATTGCCCATTTTGGCTCGGCACTTTGGGTCAATTTCGGCGTAAATCACAATGAAATAAGTGAACTGCCTCAGAATTGCATTGAAATGCACTTGACATTTAACTCAAAACGCCACTTTCCGCATGGCAGATGCGACTTTGAGAGTGAGCCGGAAAAATGAGACCCACCCACTCACTTTTAACTTTATCGTTTGTTGCCAAGTGGAGGTAGGAGAGACGAAAGCACTACCTTCACCGTCCCTCCGACAGCCTCGTTTCTATGCACCATTTGACTGATTCTGGCAAAACTGTCGTCTCATTTTGCTGGCGTGTTGACCAGGAGAAGGGTTGGACGGTGTAAAACTGAGAGACGGCATGCAAAATAGCGTTTAATGACGTTTTGTGGGCAATTTCACTCAAAATGTCTCTGTCACCGATGCCTCAGCGTCTGGCCAAGCCGGCAGCCGGGCCGGTGCAAATCGTATTCAATGTCGTGTTGGTATGTCCTGTCCAACTTATCGGTAATGTTACAATGCATGTCATTGTGCAAGCGTCATTTGGCTCAGCTCCTATGCTCAAAACGGACGCCCGCTCGACCAGCGGCATGAGCTGTCGCGAGAGCCGATTCATGTGAGGGTTGGTGAAATGGGCAAATCGAGTGGGCAACCAACCCGACAATCCAGAATGAGTAGCGAAGGCCGATTCAGAGGCCAAATGGCGCGGCTTTAGTGATAACCGAAAATGGGGCTTTCATATCGCGTTTTGCTGTCTGTCCAGTTCTGGCGAGGAGTTCGTTAAAACCAAGTGATTGCGCCCATTGGCTGTCGGCAGACCAATACGCCGTGGAAGCATATCGCTGAGGGCAACAGAACCGAGCAAGCAGGACGGACAGCGGCTGCTGCTCGCGAAGGCCGGGACCTGATAGTGTGTAGTGGGAAATTTCAGGAACAACCCTCTACTCATACGAAGTTCAAGTAGTGTGACATGTTTAGACAAGCATTTGGCAATTAAGAAGGATAGACCTTGCTCGAAATCTTAGCTTTTCAAAAAAATAGTGTTTAGTAGATTATTTACATAAACAAAATGTGAAGTGAATGAAAATAAGATAATAAGGTGGAAATTAAAGAACATGCCAAAAGATTAGTAAAAGAGTAAGTGAGAGATCAGGTCCAGTCCAGTGCAGAAGAAGTCTTGTTGATTAGACAAGATTAAGACTGATTTCCAGATAGAAAGGAATTCTCTAGAACCAATTTATCTACATATCTACAAAGAACCTATAGATACAAAACTTTTCGAGGTTCATTACTTTAAACCAAAGCCAAGATAGCCCTGGCCAGACAAATTAGCTATATTTGGATTTTAAAATTATTTTAGACACGTAGAATTGCTCCCAAATTTTACATTATTGATAAACTGAATATTCCTGGTAGGACTAAGTAAGTCCTCCTGAGAGCATCTCACGAATTAGTTATTTTTAGGATTTAAAAAATACTAAAGAATTACATTCTTTGATTAGGAAGAAAACAAGATTACGGCAATCACAGTCGGAAAGTCTTAGCCCAGACCACTTGAGTTGGAAACGATGGCAGATAAGTTATATTATAAAATTTTCAACAGGTTAAGATAAGACATATTAAAAAGAATCTGAATCTGAATATAAGAATTAGGACGATGTATTATCATGGTACAGTAAATGTAGACGCAAAGAAGCGAAGTAAAATGGAGAGAAAGTGGTAAGCCTGTCAAAGAAGGCATTAGAAATGACCAGAAAGAGTTTTTTC